TTGGTGTTCCCATGTTTATTTCTTTTGTTGGAGCAGCACAAAAAGCCAACTCTGGTCCATTCTACACAGAACTAGGGTATCAGCATGTTTGTTGAAGCCTCTTTGTGCTCATAGTGATACGATATTCTTTTGATGGGACTTATAGGTTTTCTTCAGCAATCCAATCTGTGAGGCAGTTTTCAGCTGTCTGGGGAGCCAGAGTGTAGTACATGCGTTACCGTTGTGCACACCTAAAACACGAGACAGTACGTAGGCTGCTGCCATCTTTGTCACCTGCAGATGGGACCATGGGCTTTTCTCCCCCCAGCTTTTTATGCTTTTCTGAACACAAGCATCCAGTTTCGCACACACCTCATAGTATTAGGTGTGTACATCCTCCCAGTCCCTGGCACAGTCATGAATGACTGCGGACTGTCAGGTACAATCATGTAGTCTGTCACGTCCCTCGTGCAAGAACGTACGACTGTAATCATGTAATCTGTCATAGTGACCGTTGTATCAGACCAAAGGTAGTTGAAACCAGGCATTAGTCTCGCCATCCTCCAGGGGGTTGAAATCACCACAGTAGCAGTAACTCAGCTGTACAGATACAGTATGTACAAGGCTGTCTTTGATTTGCTATCTTCATATATTAGCTATCAGACGCTTTGTTGGAGCCTCCTCACAGCTGTAGGGAAGATGTTTTTGTTTACTTCTCCATGTGGTGAGGCTGTTAAACAATGAGACACAATGATGCACCTCCTGGTTGTCGCTCACCCTTTGTCCTCTACAGTCTCTATGAACTTATGGAACATGAAGTCACTCAGTATCTTGAGTTTCTTCTCAGCTGTTACTGCTGCATTGTCGCTGTCATTTCTAGTCTATTCATTACTGCTACCCTCATTACCAGTGTTTCTGACAATACTACTACATTATAATACTTCTAACCCTAACGGTCAGTAGGTTGGCCTTCCTGGCACAATGTTTTCTTCCTCCTCCCTTTCATCCTTATCTCTTTTTCTCACGTACTTCATGCCTCCTTTCTTTCCTTTCATCCTTGTTTCCTTCTTTCTTCCCTGCCCTTTCTTTCTTGCTTCAACCAATGCAGACGCCAATGGGGCAGTCGTAGGGTTGACGAGAAGGCAGCATGGTGGCTCGGGTCTTGTTAAACACTTGCTTGAGGTCCCAGTATTCAGGCAGGACCTTGGACAGATTGGGGAATGAGTCCCGTTCTGACTTGGCTTCTGTCCCTGGGGTAGTAGCTGAGTGCAGACATTGGTTAGCACATTGTGGTGACCATTCCACGACCTTTCCTGTAGCCCACGCAACCATGGCCTCGTGTTTCACCAACCAGGGGAAACCCAAGACCACGGGATGATGTGGCCAGGAAATCTGTGGTCTCCCTATGATTATCGATGGAGAGGGTTAGCGGAGGAGTATAGCAGGTGACACGTTGCAGAAGCTTATTGTTCAGAGAGTGTATCAGAAGCGGGTTACTCACTGGTTTGCTGGGGATCTGGTGCTGACGAAGGAAGGCTGGATCAATAAAACTGGCATCGGAAACCAAGTCGATGAAGACAGGAACAGTGATGGTTTTGGTGCCGTAGGTAAGCTGGGCCATGACGACAGGGCAGGAGGTGGGTGTGTTGATGGTTTTGCGGCTCAGCAGGATGGGGAGGACAAGGCATGTAAAGCATAGCACTGTGAGGCAGCTGTATACCAAGTCTGACTGCTGTAGCATTAGTAGTTTTTGAAATATTAATAATTTTAGAATACCCCCATTGACCACCATGCAAAAAAATCATTGCTAAAATCATCCTAAAAATCATTACTTAGAAACCATAATAGCTATCAGCATGAAAAGTAACAGCACGCATCTCCTCATTATGCATAACATTAGGAATTGGAGCCATCTTTCCAGCTGTTAGCTTTTTGGACTAGTAGCACATCAACAAATGTACAGAAAGCATAATAAGAGTGAATATTATAATAGTATGAATGCTTGCAGTAATCACACTAAGTAGAAATGGCATTTCCTGGAAGGAAATGCAGCATGCTTGCTGCTGCTGCTGCTGGCAGATTTTATTAGTTGTGAAGTATATTACTGCAGTTCATGCGTGGAAAATTTTACAACTTCTGTTGTGGATGGCAGTGATCAGGCTGAATTATCTTAGATTAACAACAACTTTTTACTGTATGGTTACTAGTAGCGGGCAGCAGAGCAGGAACAACGCCCAGGAATCTACAGGATAGGCACTAGCAGCACCAGTGTCTCTACTGGCAGAGCACGGAATAACAGGCAACATAATACATTGTAGTGAACACAACAGTTCCTCCATATTTAGGAAAAAGCTATTCAGTTTCAAGAGAACGAAGGCATAATACAGCTGCACAGTAACACACCATTAGCAAAGTCACATAGTCCTTTAGCCAAGCACATCTAGTGCATTTAGTCCTAGGAGAGTCTGGTAACTTGGGAGTGTTTGTCCTCTGTCTGTATCCAGCAAGGTGTCTACAGGATCTGAATGTAGCCACTTGAGAAGCATTCGCTGTTTTGTTGTCACTCAGCACATGGATTCCAGGACCAACTTTCTCTCACACTGTGACAGGATCAATCAGTTGTAATGTGGCGCGTAGGTATGTGGTATGGTTTTCTGGTCTGTACTTTGCCACCTTCTTTAAAGCAGTGTTTGCGTGATTCTCTCTTGGCATCTGTGTATGGATTCATTTTCTGTTGTCTGCTTTGAAAAGTTTGACAAAGGGCAGCATTGATAAGGTCGGTGGTGGGAAGGACTGGCAACAGTCAGTTTTGTTCGCATTGTAGCAAATATACAGTATGTGCAGCAATGAGAGGATTACAGAGGAACTGCTTGGAGATAATTAACAGACCTCAGGGTGGTGGAGACACAGCTTGTGATTCCCAGGGAGGATGATGCCAAGGAATGCTCTTTAGAGGTAATTAAAATTTCCATCAGCACCAGAGACTTCCAAAGTTTATGGTTCCAAAACCTGGAGCTGTCCTACTTTCACTGAATGAAGTACACTGTGGATTCACCAAGGTGCTAATCTGCTGATCTCTGTGCTCTGAGCACGTGTCTGCAGACTAAAAGGTCAGTTGTTATCTCAGCTCATCTCAAAGAGACACCCCCAGAGAAGTCCAGAGGAGCGGTTTTATGACTCGTGTCAGATTTGAGACCTAGCAGACCTAACAGTCTTCCCTCTCACAGACAGCACTTGTTTTGGGACACAAATTCTATATGAACAAAATGCGTAAATCTCATGCAACGTGTGTAATGATGATGATGTTCAGTCCGACTTTGATCACTCTGGGTTCTGTTATTAACTGAGATATGAAAAACCTGACTTTTAACCATGATTTTCTGATTAGACTTTGTTCTTTTATAGGACAGTAAACTATAATGTTTAGGCCTGGAACTACTGATGACTCAGTAAATATTAGGAAAATGATCTTGCATGCCTAGAAATTTTAGACTTTCCAGATGTAGTGTGTAATGCTATATCGTTTTCACAAATTATATGATCATTAACTCTATTATTCTTATATTTCTAACTAATGAACAAGGCATGGTAAAAACAGGTAACTAATGTGAAACATAGAGTAATTACATTTATAATGAAAATCCTTATTTTCCTTCATCCCTAACAGAAGTCTGAAGCCCATGCTGGCAGACACTACCTGCCTTGCATTATGTTATAGACTTACAGTAAATCATATCAAGTCTTTTGTCTAGAGGAGAGTTTTTGTCCACACCTCATGCCGTTAGCTTGTCTACCTCCATGATTCTTGTGCTTTCCTATTCTTTTGCCCACGCTACTGATTTTTACTCATTATAGTGTTTTGTTTGAATTTCGTATTTTCATATTTTTGGGCAACAAGCCAAGCCTACATTATTTTAAATGAACAAGAAGCCACCTTTGTAGAGCGATCTTCGTGGAGCTTTACATTAAACTGGGCTTTTTTCTTTTATATTAAAGCTTTTTGAAGTCTAAATTACTACCACCAAGTCACACCAGTCAACCTAACGTGCAACAGTATAGATTCACACAGCTCATTTGACATCCAGCCAGAGCCAGTCCAAACTGGGCCTTCTTTTTCAGAGGGGCACTATCACAATGTTCGCAGTGAGGCTACAGCACTAGCTACAAGGCTGGCTTTTGTGGGAGGAAGGTTAGTGGCTGCCTCCCGTTGTGTTGGCACATGGCACTGAAGTAAAAAGTGATGTACTCGTTTCCTTAAATTTCATAATAGCATTATGTTCAATGCCATAAGTCAGAACAAGATCAAGGCTGCGATTGAAACAGTGAATAGGTTTAATAATTTTTAATAAAAAAACAAATGAGTGTATTAATGAATTCAACATGTTGTTAACAGTTCCCTAAATGCTACCTGAAAGTCACAAACTAAATCATTTAAAAAAGAAAATCCAGATAAAAACTGAATAAAGGGCAGGTGGACGCTGAACAATAAGAAATAGAACTGACTTTTGTGTTTTCCAGTTTGGCTGTGAGAGGCTAAGATCGAAGTTTTCAAATGAGTTATAACTGTGTTTAGGTCTAAGGTTGATTAATAAGCTTGAGTAGAAAAATGCTGCCGCTCCTCCACCTTGGCCTGAGCTTCAAGGGATGTGACAATTAATATGAGTGGGTGGGGTTGATTCTTTTAAATGGGCGTATTCTTGTTGTTATAGCTGGGTTTCTGTAAGGCAGAATAAATTTAGACAAGAGAGATGTGACATGTTATAGTCCATATTTGATTTTCCCTGTTTTTTGTTTCTGTAAGCATAGTCTTAATTTTAATTAGGCTCCTATGAATAACTCCTCTGGAGCTGATATTTGATTTATATGATTTAAGTGGTCGCAGGGCAGACGCAGTCTCTGTGGGGTACTGGGAGTTCTGGCGGGTGATGGCTCTAAGGAAACTGATATGAAACCAGAAACAGCTGTAAAACCAGTTTGGTATTAAACATCTTCACAGTGTTTTCCTCCTTTGTTTTCAGGATGATGACTGAAGGATAACATCCAAGGAGTCACATTCCTTCAACCCAAGTGACCCACTTTCCACCTTTTGCTAAACATTTGTCTACTTTTTTGCAACCTCCTCTTATAGAACGTCTCCTCAGTCCTGTCTCATTGCCCTGTGCATAAAGAATTTCATGGAATGTCTGCATTCCGCAGAAGGATCATGTAAATGTATTTTAAATTGCACAGTCCTCCTCCTGCTGGCCAAAAGACAGGATGACTTTAATATATAACATAATTACAGTTTGACTGGATATCGATTTCCTGCATATCTGAAATTGCTACCTCAATCTGTAGGATTCTCACTCTGCTTTTATCACTTGATCATCTGCAGCCTTTTCTGCAACCCCATCTCTTGCCAAGTGTCATTAGGCCATGGTTCGCAAGAAACGTTCTCTTATACTGTGCAGTGCTTTTGTGTTTGTTGCCTGGAACGCTTTGCTTTTACTTTATTTTTGGGGCCGACCTCCCATTGGCCACCTTGGAGAAAGTGGTGGAGCTGAACCAAGAGGAAAGGAAGAGTGGGGCATAGGCAGAAAGGAAGGAGGCCAGTTCAATCTAGCCGGGGAGGTGATCAGGTTGGCAGAGGAAGTTGAAATTCAGCTTGAGACCCAGAAAAAGCTACTGGAGCAGATTGAAAGTCACAGGGCAGTGTGGGCTTGGCAGAAAGATGTCAGAAAAAGAGAAATGGTTGAGGCAAAACAAGTTGAAGACGAGGTTGTCCATCAGCCACCAAAGCCTCCATTTCTTCTCAAAGACAATGTGGATGAAAGGACCCATGTTGAAGCAAAATATACCCAGAAGCCTGTTCATTCAGTAGCTCCAGTCCCTGAGTTAGAACTGCACCAAGCCATTGAAATAAAGGAAGTGACTGTTGAAAAGTCTAAATTGCCAACTTCTGATGTTGGCCCAGAGGTCATCATTCCCGTTCTAGTTATTGCTTGTGACAGAGTGACGGTAAAACGGAGCCTTGACAGACTTATACAGTACCGCCCTTCGCCAGGACTATATCCAATCATTGTCAGCCAGGACTGCGCCCACACTGAGACAGCTCGTGTGATTAACTCGTATGGAGATCAAGTGACACACATAAAGCAACCGGACCTGTCAGACATCAGAGTCCGGCCAGAACACAGGAAGTTCCAGGGCTACTACAAAATTGCCCGACATTACCGCTGGGCACTCAACCAAGTGTTCAACACATTCTCTCAGTCTACTGTGGTCATAGTGGAGGATGACCTGGAGGTGAGTATTTTCAGACTTCTGCATTGATCTCATAGCATTACTATCCATTATAGTAGGCATTGCCATCCCTGATAGCTCATTTTTTTGTGGCATTTAGCCTTTGTTGGATAGTTTGATGGCAGAAACATGAAGAATAGGAGAGAATTAGGGAGTTTAACATGATATGGCATCATGTTAGTCTCCTAGATCGCCAGGATGCCCAGGTAGGTTCCTGACCGAGGGTTTCTGTGTTGGGGTGTGCTCAAGGTATCTTAAAATAACCAGTGTATCTGTTTTCTTTGGTCTTGCCATTGATAACAGTGATAATACTTTGATGGGTTAGGCAGTAAGCACTGTTGTGTAGCATTAAAGGGGGGTAATGGTTTATTACAACTAGGCTCATATGGTCCACTTTTATATCTTCAAATGCATCATTTCAACAGTCATCAACATCTCTTTGTTTACTTCTGGCTGTTGATTTTTTTAAGGTGATTTGGGGCATTTTACTGCTTCTCTTTTGGTTTTAATGGTAGAATCTCACCGTGTGACATCACCCACTTTAGGCTCTCCCATTCAACTTCATTGAACTTTTTTGTTTCTTGTTTTCCTCGGTCAAATTTTAACTTTCATAAACAATTGAAAACAGTTAAATTTGTCAGGATTCAGGACCTGCACTTTTTATTGTGACAGGATTCAGGGTTCAACATTAGCATTTGCCTCCTTGCCTAGGCCACGTAAACTCTGATTGGGCAAGTAGAATCAATTTTTCTGTATTGAAAAGCACGTGGTTCTCACTTTGTAAGGGAGGACTTTATCAGGACTTGAAGAGACCAGAGAGTGAGATTAGTGGATCTGAAAATATGGTTTTGGTGTTTATGGAGTGGCTTCTCCTCTCTACGTGATGGCCTGAGAGCAGTTGTGAGCTCCAGGACACACGGAGCATAGAACAGCTGAGACGCTGCGTGGTTGCAGGTGAAACATATCACTCGAGATAACAACACCACCATTCTGTACTGTATGTGCAATAAAACCTCCATGACTAAGAAGCCAGTTGTTGTTGTTGTTGTTGTTGTTATTATTATTATTATTATTACTATTATTGAAATTGTTTAACACATTCATGGAGTCAAGCCCCTTTCGCACAAAGTCAGAGTGATGATGTCATTTCCTGTCGCCACCTTCGCTTAAATGAAAAGAAACTGTATGACCAAGAAAGTGAGTAAAATTCGTCAAGTTTCAGTTGCAGAAGCTCACAGAAGATTATCTCTGTGACTCGAGCGTATGCAATAGAGCAGAATCACAAAGTGGGGCTATGCCAGGACTAACTCTAAGGTTTATCATGTAGATGGTGAAAGGCCTAAAGTGGTTGCATTCTTGCACTGAGAAGTACTTTTGAATTGACAATTCTATCACTACGTGGTGAGCCACAGCCCTTTCTTGATTGCAAAGGCTGAGCCTTTGGTGGGTGCTCCTTTTATACCCAGTCATGATCCCCTCACTAGTTACCAATTAACCTGAATGGTTTTACTAATTGCAAATATGCTGTACTGGCTCAATGAACTACTTATTGAAGAAACCATTTTTATTCCACATCACAGAACAGAATCTAAGTTTTGTTCTAAATATGATATTTTAGAACTGGATTAGTCAAAAACTACACAGTAAAAGTAGATGATATTAAGTGATAGTAGTTTATGAAGTACTAATTGCAAACATAGTGTGTTGATGAACTACTTATCAATGAAACCGTTTTTAATTCTCATTAAAATCAGATATTTTATTTCAGTGTAATTTATTTTAGTAAATACTCCTAGAAAAAAGTTTTTATTTTCCATCAAAGGCTTGTTTCTCGTTCAGTGCATAACAGTTTAGTATCAGATTACTCCAAAAGTGCCGCTGTTGATAAAACCACCACCATCATCTAAAAACACCATGGTGCACTTGTTTTGTCAAACAGGAACAGGTTTTATTCTTAGTATTAAAGAACGTACCCCTTCAATCACAGAAATATGGCATACAGTAAAGAGTTATTTACTGCCGTTACAAGGATGATTTAGATACAGACATAAGCATCCACAGCTTCACCATGTTTTCTCAAAAGTTTCGGGGGTCACCATATATCTGTATTAGATGCCTTCTGGGGTTTTCACTATAACAGCAAAGAACAGTATTCACAGTATAAGCATGCATATAAACAAAAGAAAAAGAACCAAGTAATCATACCTGGTGTGGCTGTTCTCTATTTATTTAAAATCTGGCTAACAGCTAAACAGGATGAAAGTCTGTCCCTTCATGTTACTGGACATTAAACAATAACAAAAGTGTGGCAGATTCATCAGAAACGCCACGTGTCAAACTATTTTAATATGGTATGCTGCGTACATCTTTTGCCAAACTGTGCCCCTTTGTCGTTCTTCTTCTTGGTCATCTTCTTCTTCTTGTCGTGGCTAGAGTGTGATGCCGACTAAATTCCATCCATCCTTTTTCCTCTGCTTATCCGGAACCGGGTCGCGGAGGCAGCAGTCTAAGCAAAGATGCCCAGACCTCCCTCTCTCCAGACACTTCCTCCAGCTCCTCCGAGGGGATGCTGAGGCGTTCCCAGGCCAGCCGAGAGACATAGTCCCTCCAGCGTGTCCTGGGTCTTCCCCGGGGCCTCCTCCCGGTGGGACATGCCCGGAACACCTCCCTAGGAAGGCGCCCAGGAGGCATCCGAAACAGATGCCCGAGCCACCTCAGCTGGCTCCTCTTGATGTGGAGGAGCAGCGGTTCTACTCTGAGCTCCTCCCGGGTGACCAAGCTCCTCACCCTATCTCTAAGGGTGCGCCCGGCCGCCCTGCAGAGAAAGCTCATTTTGGCCACCTGTATCCGGGATCTTACCCTTTCGGTCATGACCCAAAGCTCATGACCATAGGTGAGAGTCGGAACGTAGATCGACCAGTAAATCGAGAGCTTTGCCTTACAGCTCAGCTCCTTCTTCACCACGACGGACCGGTACATCGACCGCATTACTGCAGAAGCTGCACCAACCCGCCTGTCAATCTCCC